ATTCAAAACCAACCATCATCGAAATTCTGAATCCTAGACGTGTTAAGAGGCTTTGATACCACATGTAAGAGGTAATTAAAAAACAACAAGTTACTAGGATCACAGATAAAACATAAATAATTACAATAAACCAATCAAACAATTAAGGGAAATAAACTTATCTTCCAAAGTAGAAGAAGAAGATGCCATGACTGCTAGGGTTTCAAAAGGAGTCTTCTACGCTCAAGTAGCCGAGAGTCATTGCTATCAAATAGGGTTTTTAGCACGAGATAGGATAATATTGTGAGTGAAGGGACCTCCCTATATATATATATATATATATATATATATATATCCATATCAGGCCTATGAACTGATACCTTGGACATTCCAAACTGATTAGGGTTTCGGTATAGTCATCATAGGTATTGAACTCTTGTCAAGTCTTGATAAGGTTACTTGAATATAATTGCATGTTATTAGGACTCTTAATCTTAGCCAAGTAGGATCGGAATTTCCTCAACATGATAACTCATACACTAAGCTATCAGCTTGTCGAGAACAAGAACTCATTCTTCTTGACACTCACATCTTACACTTTGTAGCATTGCTATGGCTGCCTCTTACCCCACCACAGCTTAGTTAATTTTACCATCAACAATTAAATCAATGCCTACTATATATATGCGTTGTAGGCACTATTAGATCTAAGAAACTCCTACGTAAAATATTTGTAAGATCTACGTATTTTGGCTGCAAGAACTAGACATTTTATTGAACTTTATATCGTAAAAGTGTAGGCTTTCCTAACAAAATGGTAAACAAATTTCCATGCGTTAATAAACTGTTAACAGCTAACTAAATCATTCGGGTAAGATCAGTGTGGCAGTTTATTCTTATCATTTAAAGAATCCCAGCAATCGCAATATTCTAGATGGATTTTGAGCAACCGTACACTAGGGCGATTCAAATTCATCCAAATTACAGGAAGGGAGGGAGATAGTTTAATTGGAATGACGTTGAAGAGCAATCCACAATATAATTGAGGAATGTGAATTGAAGTATTAGAGGAGTCGGTTATGGCGCCCCTTATATTTTTTTTCCATTCAGAATTTGATCAGCAACTATGCACGAACCAATTGAGCAATAAAATAATCTATGATAGGGTTTTCCATACATCAGAAATTTTGAAACTTCGAAGATTACAAAACAGTAATGAACGCCTTCTGAATTATGAGACATAATTAATTGTATTAGTATTATCCCTCGTTGTTTACTTAAGGACCCATTACCGCACGAAAAGATAAAGGTTTAGCGTCAAACCCAAATTATTTAAAGATTAACATATAATCTTACAGGTCCATATCAACATAAATTCTAGGGCACGTATACGTATATTGCAAATCAATTTTTGGGGCACGGCGATAGCTCCATCGAGAGCCATTATGTAGTACCTGGATGGACTAGTATATAAATCCAAGCAGCGTACCATTTCAGTATTACCTGCTCATATCATTTACATAATCAAAACTTAGCTGCTTCATTCTAGTACACTAGCTAGCTAGCTTGCATGGGGTTCATTAACCTGCTGCCGTGGAAATATATGTGCTTGAGCTTGATCCTCATGCTGGGGGCCTGGTCATCCGGAGCCACTTCTCGCACTCTACAAGATGCAAGGATGTACGGGAGATACGAGCAATGGTTGACTCGTTATGGTCGCATATATAACGACGTTAATGAGAAGGAGACTCGTTTCAAGATATTCAAGGAAAATGTGGCGTTTATAGAATCTTCTAATAAGGATGCCAACAAACCTTACAGATTAAGTGTCAATCAATTTGCAGACCTTACAAATGAAGAGTTCAAAACCTCAAGAAATGGATTCAAGGGACACGAGTGCTCCACGAAGACTTCTTTCAAATATAAAAATTTGACTGCATCATTACCAGCAACAATGGATTGGAGAAAGAAAGGAGCAGTAACCCCCATCAAGGACCAAGGCCAATGCGGTAGTTATATAAACGTCTAGCTTATTTTTTATTTATTCATATTAAATGGTTTTGTTTGATACTTGTTCTAACTACTTTTAGATCCAATATCAAAATACAGGATGCTGTTGGGCTTTTTCAGCAGTGGCCGCCACGGAAGGAATTACACAGCTTACAACTGGGAAATTGATCTCTTTGTCTGAGCAAGAGCTCGTTGATTGTGACACCGCTGGTGAAGACCAAGGATGTGAGGGCGGCTTGATGGATGATGCCTTCCAGTTCATCCAACAAAATCGCGGGATTAGCACAGAAGCTAATTACCCTTACGACGGTGTTGATGGTACATGTAACGCTAAGAAGGAAGCCAGCCGTGCAGCCAAGATAACTGGCTTTGAAGATGTCCCTGCAAACAGTGAAAAGGCCCTTCTTACCGCAGTAGCTCACCAACCTGTTTCTGTTGCCATTGATGCTAGTGGTTCTGACTTCCAGTTCTATTCAAGTGGTGTCTTTACCGGGACCTGTGGAACAAGCCTTGACCATGGTGTTACCGCTGTTGGTTATGGCGTGAGCGAGGATGGGACTAAGTATTGGCTAGTGAAGAACTCATGGGGTGCAGAATGGGGTGAAGGTGGGTACATAAGAATGCAGAGAGATGTTGCTGCGGCGGAAGGACTTTGTGGCATTGCTATGGCTGCCTCTTACCCCACAGCTTAGTTAATTTTACCATCAACAATAAATCAATATGCCTACTATATTTATGCGTTGTTGGTACCATGAAATCTAAGAAACTCCAATGTGTCAAATACTTGTATGATCTATGTATTTTGGCTGTAAGAACTAGCCATTCTATTGAACTTTATATCGTAAAAGCGTAGACTTTACCAATCCACAAGATAAATCCACCAATTTTTGTGAAGTCACAATTTTGGCTCTCCACATTTGTACTTTGTAGAGTCTATTGTGGATGCTCTAATCAAATCATTTTTATTTCATCACACGCTTTTCCGTTTTACAACAATCTTGCCATTATGGAGTAATTTTTTAATGACCGTAACATCACTGAATTGTGTTATCAATTCTTTGTTTACGTACATGATAGAATAGCTACCTAGTTAGGATTCCTTGCTATGATTTTATCGCTTCAATTTGTTATGCGCAATGGCTTGACTTCGAGCACTGTCGACTATTCCCTTTATATCGCATCTGATCTTTCATCAGATAAGGTAAAATAGTTGATGAAGTCATCGGTACAATGGGTGAACGCAAGTCTCAAATTTAAGAAAGTATGCATTTGTAGTAAAACTTACAAAGCCTCGCTATGGTAAAATCCAATGGTATGGGGAAAACCCATAGACTAAAGTGAAAAGTAAGAAGTACGCATAATAATATCTAAACAAGCATCAAACAGGACGAAAGTAGTTAACTCAACGAAGTATGATCATCCCAGGATGGGTGCCTCATTAAAACCTCATTAGGTAGCAAAAACCCAATCAGAAAAATGCTCTTAATCATAGGAAAAAGAGTACATTAAGATCAAGTAAGTATGCTTCTAGATACTCCCCCTAAGTTAGACATAACTTCTAAATAAGAGAACTACAAGTGATTTAACTCAGATAATTTATGCATATCGATTCTTGGACGAGCTTCTGAAAAGTAAACTTGGGTAATGACTTGGTGAAGAGATCGGCCAAGTTGTCCTGGGAACGGATTTGCTTGAATTCAATGTTCTAATGTTGCTGCTGCTGCTGGTGTGAGTAAAAGAACTTCGGTTCTATGAGCTTGGTGTTGTCTCCCTTGATGTATCCCTTCTTTAACTACTCGATACATGCTGCATTGTTTTCAAAGATCATCATAGGAAGGTCAACGACTGATGTAAGACCACTAGTGCTTCAAATATGTTCCATAACTTCTCTCAACCAAAAGCATTCATGTAATGCTTCATGTCGGGCGAGAATCTCAACATGGTTCGACGAAGTCGCAACTAGCGTTTGCTTGGTAAACCTCCAAGATATAGTGATGTCTCCAACGGTAAAGACATAGCCCGTTTGAGAATGTGCCCTATGTGGGTCAAACAAATATCCAGCATCTGCGTAACCAATAAGGCAAGAATCAATCTAAGGACTATAAGGGGAGGCAACACTCGAAGATTCGCGAGTATAGAACAAGCCCAAATCCATCATACCCTTAAGGTAGCGAAAAATGTCTTTAACACCATTCCAATGCCTACGTGTGGGCACATTGTTGTATTTTGCCAAAAGATTAACAACAAAGGAGATGTCGGGTCTAGTGCATTGAGCCAAGTACAATAAAGCCACAATTGCACTTAGGTAAGGAACTTCGGGTTCTAAAATCTCTTCCTCGTCCTCCTTTGGATGAAAGGGATCTCGTTTAGCATCTAGAGTCTGAACGACCATGGGTGTACTCGAAGGCTTTGCTTTATCCTCATTAAAATGTTGCAACACCTTTTGGGTGTAGTTCGATTGATGTACTACGATTCCATCCAGACAATGCTTGATCTCCAGGCCGAGACACTATCGAGTTTTCCCAAGATCCTTTATCTCAAATTCCGATTTCAAGCGTGCAGTAATTTCCTCAAGCTCTAGGGGAGTCCCGATGAGGTTCATATCATTAACATAAACTGCAATGATTTGACCTCCAAAATACCCAAAATATCCAGAAACGTCAATCTGGAATTTTGACACAATCATGTCGAAAGACTCATGAACATCCTCCAATTGGAATCATTCCAAAATTCATCCATTTGATCAATTTTTGCTTAAGAGGAAGTCGAATATTCTACATTGAAAAAACATAACAAATGATCAAAATTCTACTAAAATAACCAATAAACTATAACCAAGAATAGAGTAAAATATATAGTATAATATGGACACATCAAGCATCAAACCCAAATTATATTAAAGACATATTAATCTTACAGGTCCGTATCAACATAAATTCCAGGGCACGTACGTATATTGCAGATCAATTTTTGGGGCACGGCGATAGCTCGAGAGGCCATTATGCCGTACCTGGATGGAGTAGTATATAAACCCAAACAGTCTACCGTTTCAGTATTACCTGCTCATATCATTTACTTAATCAAAACTTTGCTGCTTCATTCCAGTACACTAGCTAGCCAGCTAACATGGGGTTCATTAACCTGCAGCCGTGGAAATATACGTGCTTGAGCTTGATCCTCATGCTGGGGGCCTGGTCATCCGCAGCCACTTCTCGCACTCTACAAGATGCATCGATATATGGGAGATACGAGCAATGGTTGACTCGTTATGGTCGTGTATATAACGATGTTAATGAGAAGGAGACTCGTTTCAAGATATTCAAGGAAAATGTGGCGTTTATAGAATCTTCTAATAAGGATGCCAACAAACCTTATAGATTAAGTGTCAATCAATTTGCAGACCTTACAAATGAAGAGTTCAAAGCCTCAAGAAATGGATTCAAGGGACACGAGTGCTCCACGAAGACTTCGTCTTTCAAATATGAAAATGTGACTGCATCATTACCAGCAACAATGGATTGGAGAAAGAAAGGAGCAGTAACCCCCGTCAAGGACCAAGGCCAATGCGGTAGTTATATAGACGTCTAGCTTATTTTTTATTTATTTATATTAACTGGTTTTATTTGATACTTATTCTAACCACTTTTAATTCCAATATCAAAATACAGGATGTTGCTGGGCTTTTTCAGCGGTGGCCGCCACGGAAGGAATTACACAGCTTACAACTGGGACATTGATCTCTTTGTCTGAGCAAGAGCTCGTTGATTGTGACACTGCTAGTGAAGACCAAGGATGTGAGGGCGGCTTGATGGACGATGCCTTCCAGTTCATCCAACAAAATCACGGGATTAGCACAGAAGCTAATTACCCCTACGAAGGCGTTGATGGTACATGTAACGCCAAGAAGGAAGCCAGCCATGCAGCCAAGATAACTGGCTTTGAAGATGTCCCTGCAAACAGTGAAAAGGACCTTCTTGCCGCAGTAGCTCATCAACCTGTTTCTGTTGCCATTGATGCTAGTGGTTCCGACTTCCAGTTCTATTCAAGCGGTGTCTTTAGCGGAACCTGTGGAACAAGCCTTGACCATGGTGTTACCGCTGTTGGTTATGGCGTGAGTGAGGATGGGACTAAGTATTGGCTAGTGAAGAACTCATGGGGTGCAGAATGGGGTGAAGCTGGGTACATAAGAATGCAGAGAGATGTTGCTGCAGCGGAAGGACTTTGTGGCATTGCTATGGCTGCCTCTTACCCCACAGCTTAGATAATTTTACCATCAACAATTAACTATATAATATGCGTTAGAGGCTGTATGATATGTATCAATTTGTATGAATATTATACGATATTGTGGCTGTAAGAAAAAGTAGCTTGCCATCTTGTGAAAATCCTCTTCGGTTTCGTCTGTTTGAACTAAATACATAGTGCATGCTCTTTTCAATTCATTTCCTTTACCAAATCCTGAATCTCAGCTTCTTCCAAGAATCTCATCAATCAAAATGATGAGATTAGCTCTGAGGCAAATTACAACACCGGTGTTGACCATACTTGCAACAGCCATGCCCCTCACGCATCGATATAACTGGCTATGGCCATGAAGACCTGCCGGGAAGCAATGACAAGGCCCTTCCCAAGGCTATTGCTAATCAACTTGTATCTATTGCATTGATGCCGGAGGAGAAGATTTCATGTCCTATAAAAGTGGCGTCTTTAAAGGCGTATGTGGACTAGCCATCGACCATTGTGATTCCACTATTGGTTATGAGATCAGTGATGATGGAGAACTTACATGGCACAAGATATACAGCCACGTAGAGTTCCATACCAATGAAATAAGGACATGTGAACAAACTTACACGCGTCTTTTATTTTGTTGGGCAGGATGCCACTGTGGCAATGTCCCATACCATTTAACTCATATTATTGTGTATCAGATTGTATACTCAAACGAACCACCAATTTCACAACTGCAGAAGCAGAGACATTGCTTCAAGGGGCATGCAGAAGTGTGTGTCCTTTCTTTTCCCTTTGAAACTACATCCATAAACCAATCACCAGACCTTTGAATGAACCACCATGCGCAGTAACATGGACTCAAAAATGCAAACATTATTAATAGTATAGCTACTTGTTACTCCCGCAAAATCATAATACAACATTCAGCGTTAAACACAACTTGCAATGTGCTGAAGTACACATGTAAAGTAAAAACAGATTAAACTAGGCAAAACTACAGCACACCTTAAATATGGAGCCAAATGGAAGTTCGTAGGCCAGCTCAGGCAGAAGGTTCTTTGAGTTTTAGTTGCTCTGACGCAACTCTGGTCGCACAAAGTCTGCATCAGCAGGCACTGAAATGTCAACTGTAGGTCTCAGTTCAGCGCATAACTTGATGGCTCCATGCACTGGATCTGACATGAAGTTGCTGATGAGGTCTCCGTTGATGGGTGCACCATTGTCCACAGAAACTAAGGCCTGCTGAGTAAGGATGTAATCAAATCGTGGAGCCCATTTCCTTGATCCCAACCGAGCTGTTGTTGAACAGTTATCCACCATGAAAGAAACTCCCCGAGCATGCATAAAAGGATTCAAAGAATCCACCGACTCAATAACACTTTCATTAATGATCTCCGAATATGAATGTCCTTTCTTCCTCAACACTTCGATCTGGAAATTCATAAAGCGGTTAAAATCACATGCAGAAGAAATTATCCCCAGTTAACTAACAAAATCATTCATTTCTTATTAGGAAAAAATAAAATAAATTCCCAGCATTTATGTTCCAAGGAACTGAAGTTTCAATTGATAGAAAGAAACCTACAATTTGCATTATGAAACATTCAGTGAATGTTCATCGTTTCTACCACAGATGATGATAACTTAAAATACATATTTGAAGTAGATGTTTCATGATTTTGACTAGATATATTGACAGAATAATAACCCTTTATGAAATCCACATTCTTAACTATATGGTCGAGAGCTGATATGCATCTTAGTGTGACAAAAAGTAAAACCATGAAAATATTTTCATATACCAATCTTTTGTTGCCAATTTTCTAATATTTTATAGGCACACACTTGCTATTCGGACTGTTTAATTAACTTAGTCTGGTGTCAATATAAAGTAATCGATGAAACCCTATTAATTTTGGCAAGTTAGTATGAGAACATGTATCATTATAGTCTACTAAACTTTGAGATCAGAACAAAAGGAAAATATCATTCATTTGTAAGCAACTCAGAACGATTGCTTGTTGGAAGGTTATCTCTTCTTTTGCAATGTTACGTTCTCACCCATTCTAAAGAGTTAGGCTAATACCTGCGCCATCATTAAGGCAACAAAAACACCAGCAGTGAAAGGATGCAATGGGCCTAGATCACCAGCTGGCCTTGTCGATCGGACACGCTCACCGACTTTCCACATGCGGGTCTGATCAATTTTACCCATTGGGAATGCAGGCAGACCCTCCTTCTCCTGTAAACAAAGGCATGTTCATTATCAATTTGCATAACATGAATATTTGTTTACTTAAAGTATTCAAAGTACTATGACACTGAGAATCATGTAATTAAAATAGGGATTTCACCAATTGAAGACAGATGGAGAACATACGTAAAAGCGACGACCGGCCAAGACAACACTGCGGATCTCGCTGCCACTGGCAACATCTTCATAGCATTCATACAAGATGTCCATGCATGGATAAAATGAGGCACTATATGCAGCCTCAAATTCCTTTTTGCCATCTTCAGACAAAGAGTTGTAAATCTCTAACATGCCCTGTTGGGAAAAATAATTAAATTGATATACAAGCACGGATGTGCACAGGAACACATAGATCTAAACTACAAATAATGAAATCCATACGTGGGCAGTACCTTAGTCGAGATGGTCCTTGACACAACTCCAGTTATGCATTCAACAGTGTTTTTATAAGCCAAATCCTCACTCATTCCATTTTCGGTGTACCTTCTAAATAGTGACTCCACAATTCCATGAACAGCACCAAGTAATATGCCTACAAAGCAAAGAAGAAGAGATGAGATATCAAGTTTACTGGATTCAAAGCATAAGCAAAGAAAAGAGAGAAAGTTACGATGAAGCAAATAAAACATACCTCGTTCACCAAAGATGTCACTTTTGTATTCCTGCTCTAGTGTAGTGGCAAATGTGAAAGGAGAACCAAGGGCAACTGACCAGCCCAGGGCCACATCTGTGGCTCTACCATCAACATCCTGTACAAACACAGAGCATTTAGTATCCAGGATATCAGTTATATTAAGGCCAGAAAATATGTAGTGAGAGAGAGAGAGAGAGAAAGAGCTGACCTGGTGGACTGCAAAACTGGAATTAATTCCAGCACCATTTATCTCTTTGCCTTGGACATAAAGCCTCCTTACAGATGGACCCATTCCCTTGGGACATACAGCAATTACACTGATGTTCTTGGGAAAGTCAAGTCCCACTGACTGCAAATGCCCTAGAAGGAAACCATGGGAAAGACCAAGTATACTATTTGGTTTCATGTGTGAAAATACCTTCTCATAATTATCGGCCTGCAACATGAGACAGTTCAACCCTTTCAGAAAGATACTTTTAAGGGTACCCAGAAAACAGGCTCGTTCACCCACACACCCATGACTTCATTCCATTAGAGATTACTTCTGTAATATGACCTGATTCTCAACAAAGTAAAACTTCACCAAGCAAACTCTACTTACATTAGCACGGCATCAAATAATTTCTAACCAGCAAACAAAATCATGCATAATTATGAAGATATCCATGAGATGACAACTACATACTGAGCCTAATACCACTCTGGTTTAATGCTAACAAATGACATGTTAAGTACTCACATGGTAGAGAACTTAAAAACACTTGATAATCAACACCATCTCAACACCTTTCAGCAGATACAGTCCGCAATATTACATCAAAGAAAAATAAAAAAAAAATATAACCATGTAATCGCATTATCAGTACTTCAGTCTTTCTTAACCTATTTTCCTAAGTGACTTATTAGTAAGTACGACAAGTCAGTGCCCAGGGACAAGAAGATAAAGATGGTTTAAAATGATAAATGGATTAGCAGACCAAAAATTATTTTAGCAGAACAGAACAGAAGCACCTGTGCAACTACAAGTTACAGCCAATATTAGAAGGAATAAAATTTCCAAAAGTGCAATCAACAGACCTGCGCAGAATCAGAAATTAGCAGCAACACGAGATCACTGCCTGAAACTGTTTCGTATATATCACCCAAAGTGCCATTCTCCTCAGTGAAACCAGCTGCACAAGCTTCAGCACAAGAACGGGAACCCTTCCTGAGCCCAATCTGTAAAGTCACGGCAGGTTATATAATATGTATGTATAAGAAAAAGATAACCGCAACACACTGAAAACATAAGTCGGTAACTAAATTTTTTTTTTTTTTTTTTTTCGTATGAAATGCATTTTTGAGTGTAAACAGGAAAGTATTTACCTTGACAACAATGTCAGACTTTGCTTCAACTAGAGAATCTCTTAGATTCTGAGCTTGAGCAGGTCCCTGAGGTGAAGATAGGTTAAAGACCCAAATAACATATAGTGACTGAGACAGAAAAATGCATTCACATTAAGGTTATTTGAAAGAAGCAATGTTAGAGCATAGTCCGCAAGCTAGACTTCTACATTCTCACATGCTCTGCAGTAGAATTTTACAACAAAACCTCATGTACCTTACTGTCAGTCTGTCAAACAACCCATGTGCAACTCACAAATTATTCCAACCGTCCGGCCTAATTATGGTGCTCCATGAGAAATTGAGAAGAGACAACACTCAACTTATACACATATTCGGATTCAGTTTGTTAGTAATATAGGATCCTGAAGCAAATAAATTTACTCATACCAGATTACCATAAGTAACCTATTGACATAGAGAAAAAAGAAAACAGAAAAGAAATCAACACCCATAAGTCATGCATTTCTTTCTGCTACTCGTTTAAAAGGACAGATAATCTCCAATTATTTAAAGCAGGTGCTTCTGGTTTCGTTTTCACAAGGAACCGTACAGATACATAAATGATGCGAAAATCTAAGAAACAATGCAGACACAAATGCTAATCATTATGTTCAATAAATACAGCCATTTAACAAATAGATAAAAGATATGAGAGAAGTTCATTCACCTGAGAACCCCAACCAATAACACCAATTTGCTTAATACCCTTGAAAGCATCGGGCAATAAATGGAACAGATCCCTTCCTCCTCTCACAATATACTGCAGTTGGCATCAAACCCAACACACACAACAATAAGAAACTCCAAATGGAAATCATTTCTCTATCATTATTAGTAATATGCATAAATGCATATAATATCAAGAAATAGATAAAACTGTACATGTATTTGCATACACGGAGAACAGCTCAACACTTTTCCATCATTTTCCATTCCTTTAACCTAACTGCCTTGTTTAGCTTTCCATTTCCTACCTTTCTATTGTTTGTTAGTTAATGATAAGTACAAAGAGCTTCCCATTCTCTTTCCCCAAACCCATTTATCGAAATCCAAGCAAAACCCATAAACTCAATTAGTAAATTAACTGAGCAATATCGGAATGCGTTTGTACAAATAGACAGATAGTAAGAGAGAGACCTCGTCGTGACCAGCGAGGTTGATCTTCTCTTTGGTGAAAACAGAGGTCTCAAAATCGAGAGAAGGAGGGGACTTAATGGACGGCATTGACACCATGCAAGCTCCGAGAGCTGAGCCAGTGCCGGAGACATTATTACCGCCGCGCGTAGCTTTCGCTCTGAGAGGGTTGATAGACTTGGAGATGGCGGATGAAAACCCTAAACTGGAGGGAGCCACATGGGTTTTGGATGCTGACGATGATTGGGGAGCAGGGCAGAGGGCAGGAGAGAAAGAGGAAGTAGCCGCCGCCATTGATAACACAGAGCAAGAGCGCGCAGAGAGAATCAGAGGGTGTGAGTTTTGGCGTTTAAGCCCCTTTTTATGGTCGAGGTTGCTCTGGTGGGATGTGGCTAACGTGCGCCGAATGCTTAAATCGTTTTTTCTTTTTTCTTTTTTCTTTTTTTTCTTTTTCTTCTTCTTTTTTTTTTTTTTTTTTTTTCTTTTTTTCCTTGTCAAACGATAAATTTTGTTATATTAGTCATCGACGGAGTTTGAACTCACGTCATTATAGCTCAACACATTTTTACTATTGTGGTAAA